ACCTCAGATGAAGGAGATCAACTGGTTGGGCCATAAGACACAATGCGACGAGCTTGATATCGCTGATAAACCTGCAAAGGAGGGGTAGAGGCGAGATGAGAGGAAGATGATATAGAAGTGGAGGAGGAAGGAACACAAGAAGGAAGAGTAGGAGTGAGAGAGACTGGCTCCCCATCATGACAAGAGAGAAGATCAGTAGATAACTGTTGCCCAGAGGAAGAAAAAAAAGGAGTAGACTCAAAAAAGGTAACATCAACACTAACAAAGTATCGATGTGACTTAGGATGATAACATCGGCACCCTTTTTGAGTACGAGAATAGCCTAAGAGCACACATTTGCGAGCACTAGGAGATAACTTATCCAAACCGGGGTCAAGAACATTTGCGAGCACGAGGAGATAACTTATCTAAATCGGGGTAAAGAACATGGACAAAGGCCACACAACCAAAAACACGAGGCGACAAGGGAAACAGAGACAATGTGGGATATAACAGAGAATAGGGAGACGTGTGTACAACACTAGAAGGCATGCGGTTAAGAAGCAAACAAGCGGTAAGAACAACATCGTCCCAAAACTGTTTGGGAAAGTGCATGTTAAACATCAATGTGCGAGTAACATCTAACAAATGGAGGTGTTTCTGCTCTGCAATACCATTTTGAGGAGATGTATGAGAATAACTAGTTTGATGAATAATACAACGAGCATCACAAAAGGTAGTCACAATAGACTGTACATAATCTAAGGCATTATCAGACTGAAATATCTTAAAACGTTTCCCGAATTGAGTAAAGATTTCATTATAAAACTTAGAGATGATATAAGGCAAATCAGATATTTCTTTCATTAAAAACAACCAAGTCATCTGAGAGTATCCACAAAGATAACAACATAAAAAAAAGAATCATTAATAGTGGAAGTTCTAGAAGGACCCCATATATCTATATGGACAAGAGCAAATGATTTAGACACACGGCTAACACTATGACTAGGAAAAGAACTACGGTGATACTTCCTAAATTGACAGGCTTCACACTCAATCTGAGAAACATGACTCAAACCAAGAACAACTACCAAAGCGAAAATGTCACTGAAGAGGAGATATAGTAGCACTCAACACAGCAGATAGAGGGTTAGGAGAGGTCTTTGTGTCCAAAAAGTATAAACGATCCTTCTTATGTCCCCAACCAATCATTCTCTTGGTCTGGAGGTCCTGCAAAACACATGAAGTTAGAGAAAAGTTTATTGAACAGTGGAGAGATTGAGTCAATTGGCTAATAGAAAGTAAATTAAATGGAAACTAAGGAACATAAAGATTCGAAGGTGAGGAAAGAGATGGAGTGGGTGAAGAGAACCTCGATCACTGATAGGTTGAGAAGATCCATCAGCAAGTATAATAGTATGATCAACAAGTCTAAGAGTATCAAAAAGAGAGGAATTACCAGAGATATAGGAACTAGCACCAGAGTCTAGGAGGCAAGGTTGAATGGACTTAGCCACACATGCAATATCACCCGAACTAGCCATAGTAGCGGTAGAGGATGAAGGTAGACTAGGCCGGAGAGATTGGATAAGAGTGGTAAGCTCACCAATCTGAGTATTGAGTGTCTCATGAGAATCAACCAGAGAAGCAACAGAACTAGTGGAAAACAAAGAGGACTGTGAGGGTGAAGCATCCATAACTTGATGTACATGGTCAGGTTTACCATACTTCTGCCAACACCAAGGCTCAATATAACCTTAGGAACCACAATGAGTACACTTGCGATCACCACGTGTGCGAGAACCAGGTCCACCACTACCTTCACCCCGAAAACCACCACGTGAGCCACCACCACGGGAACCTCCTCCACGAGAACCTCGTGGACTAGACGGGCCATGAAAACCCCCGCGAGTAGACCCATGATCACCACTACTAGAGACTAAAGCAGAAGATGATGACAATGTAGAGGACTCAGAGGTGGGTTGTGCCCGTTCCAAGGAAGAACGTAACAGTCGAGAATAGGCATTAGCAGCAGAAGGTAAAGTTTCACTGGCAAGAATCTAATCCTTGAACCTCCATAATTCAGTATCTAAGCCAGAGAGTGAATAAGCTGTCATAAACTCCTACCAATGTTGTTTCTGTTTGTTCACATCAGTGGTGAAGAGTCGATGCTGTAATAACTAATCCCACAAAGTCTTGATACTACTATAATGATTGGGAAAGGACAGGCCAAATTGGTGCATAGTAAAGATCTGCTCATATAGCGCATAGACCCGAGAGACATTACTTTTATTTGAAAAAAGATTCAGCAAGGGAGTCCCAAATTTCCTTAGAGGTATCACAAAATTCCATGATAGTAGCAACATTTGGTTCCAAACTATGCCAAATCCAATCCATAACACATGAATCCTCACTACACCAATCATCATAAGATTTGTCATCAGTGACGGGAGGGAGTTTGCTAATGAAGCTGGACTTCTTTTAGCCACGTAAGAAAATCTTGACAGCATGAGCCTAAGCCAAAAAGAATTGGCACCATTCAATTTCTTAGTAGTAATAGATTTAGGCATGTCATCCTTACCTACAGCCATAGCCTTAGTCTCAATCTCAGCCATGACAATCAATCACACAAAATACTCAACACAAGAGCATGAAGGTAGCAAAATCCTTGCAAATAGGAATTACTCACAACAATCAGCACCTACAACACTCAATATAGACAGTAGAACTAGCTCAATCAACAAGAATCCATGACAAAAGAGACATGAGTGGGGAGAACATATGTCTACCAAACAGATTTAGACCCAAATTCAACCAAAACAATAACCCACCAACACAAATCAACATTTTAAGAGCAAACAACCCTTGCTAGATGATTTTCGGCCCCTATACAATAAGTTTCAATAGGTAGAAACAGAAAACTATGGCTGCTGAATACTTCTGAACCAGAGAGAGGCCAAAAAACGAACCAAACATCAACTCAACAATAGTAAATCAACAACATAATGGCAAATATCATTAGAAGAGTGATTTTTGGCTCCTATAGGTATGATTTCAACAAGGAAATCCAGCTAAAACAAGTCCCAAATACAGATTTGAAAAGTGGCAACAAAAAACACGAAAAATATTCAAAAATAGAAAACTCACATCTTGGATGATCAAAAAATTTCACAAAAATCATCATATATCTGATGGTGAAATTTTGAATATAGGAGTGAAGGACCCGTCTGTATAGTTCTTACGCCATGCTGACGTTATCGTACAGCTGATGACATTAGCACGTCTCGGTTACCTCCAATTGATCTCCAGAGTCTGTAGAATACTTTCTAATGAAGAATAGATTGCTCTGATACCAAGTTAGAATGTAAAGTGAAGAAATTTAGGGTCAGGAATTAGGAAGAAGAAGAAGAGATAAGAGAAGAGAGAAATTTTACATATTTTTTGTAATCAATCTATTCTCAACTCTACATCAACAAAATATATATACAAACCCTAATATTGCAATATGACCATCATACCCTCGACTTACGTAAATATTAACATAAGAACAATAGAACAAAAATAACTATTCTAACAATGATGGTTTCATTTATACAAGTAATAATATTCTGTTAAGATTTCCTTAACAACTGTGCCGTATCTGGTTAAAGATTTATCATTGGTTATTATTGATGAGTTTTTTCGTTTTTTCGAAAACATTCTTAAATTGTTTGTATTCACTCTGCATGTGTTAATATCTATGCGTTTACTAGTCTGATCTGTCTATAAAAGCTAAAGGTGGAACATAGATGGGTTTGGGCAGGTCAAAACGAGTTCTGCATTAAAAAACCCAACCAAAACCAAATCCACCCATTTAATAAATGGGTTTAAGCAGGTTGGGTTGAATTGAGAAACATCTATCACACACTTCAATCCGAACATAAAAAGAAATGACTCCTCTTTCTATACACAATTTTGTAATATTCTAGCCAGCTTGTTTTAGGCTTAGACAAAGACAGCATATTTGTGTGGGTTGGACAAATCAATTTGACAAATCCATTTACTTAATAGAACTCTTTTTTCCAATAGATGGTGGTGGTGGAGGAGGTTGTAGTGGTGATGGGTTCCTTGCTTTGTTGCTTGTTTTTTTATTTAAACCGAACAGGTACCCAAGTCCCAACTCATTTCAACCGAATTTTAAATGGGTTCGTGTAGCCCATTTATAACTTGCTTATAAATTTGGGCGGGTTTAAATGGGTGAAATTGGACCAGTTCACGGTTTCGGGGTAAGTTTGCCAGCTCTAATAAAACATATTTTCATTAAATAGAATTTTCATCAGTAGAATGACCATGATGACAAAGGTCTTCTATTTCCAATTAGCTAGATAATCATGTGTTAAACTTGGATGTATTAATTTTTCTTATGAACCAATAGTGTCTATCTATCACTATTTGCTCCAATTGTTTCTTCCCTTCCATTTTCCATTCTTGCATTCTACTTTTCTGTTTGGCATTCAATTTGTCAGATCTTAGGATTGCTTGTATTCTGCCAATTTTATCACAAGTCTCTGCTACTCTGAAGCTTGAGTTCAGTGACTGCCAGTCGTACTTATTTTAGATTCCCTTCAAAGCATTTGGAGGCTGCGTTGGAGTAAAGGACTTGGGGAAACTTTGAATATCGTGTTTTGCTTCCTTATTTTTCCTCGACATATAAAAATAAGTGGACTGCCTAAAAAGCAGCACCTTCCAATTTAAAAAAAGTCAAAATCTGTACATTATATAGATTAAAAATGTAAATAATTTCTTAGAGACAAATGCAGCCTTGGTGAGCTAGTTGCTGTTTTCTCAATTAACATGGAGATGCATTTTTTTTTTTTGTTTGGCTGCTTCAAGTTGTCCTATTTGTAGGGACTTAATTTAGCTTCTTGTTGTGGCTTATATATGGTCTCAAGATGCTTATTTGGTGTAATGACTAATGAGTTTTCCCTTTCAAAGAATTTAGCATACCTAATTTTGGCATGAAATTACTTTAATCACAGGCTAGAATTGCGGAGTTAATGCCTATGGTGGGAAATCATGCTGGGGATGGATGGCTTGATAAAGATGGTCCTGACCCTAGCCTCGTGAATAGCCAATTTCCTAATAGATACTCGGTACAGTTGGCATCTTTTTGGGTAGCTTTTCATATTTTTGAACTTAATTATGTCATTCTTTTTTTTAATAATTATTTTCCTTCATGAAGCAGGGTTGGCAGTCTTCCGTCTCTAATCACTCCATAGGTGAACAACAATTGGAATCAATTGATAAAATGCCAAGAGATTGGCTTGACAATGATCATACAGAAATGAAAAGTTTTATGGGTAATCATGAGATGCAACAACCATCAAATAATGACAATCCTCTGAAGGTCGCACCCAATACCGATAGGTTGGCATCAGCAATTTCACTTCTGTTCTGACAGTTTGATCTTCTTTCTCATTCTTATGCTTTGCTTCTTGAAATGTGTGAGAATTAATTTTAGCTGCATATGGACTTAATTATACTACATATGCTTGTTATTTCAATTCTTTCTGGCAATGAGCTTGGCTGGAATATAAATGCTGAGACGGAGATGCATAATATAGTAACATAATTAGAAATAAAAATATATTGAGACGGTAGAACTAAAATCTATTGGAGGTGACATGAAGGAAAAATTGACTATGATGGTTTTACGTTGTGCAACTAAGACTAATGGCTTCACTAGTGAGGCAGAATGACATGATCTTAGATTGAGGGCAATTTTAGGGGAAGGTAAAGATGATTCACGAGGGTTGCAAAAATTGTTAGAATAATATCTTTGTTATTATGGTTTATTATTCTGGTTTGTTGTCATTAGTTGTAGTTTCCTTATTTGTGCCTTGAGGCTTCTATTATACATTTCATATTATTAATATACAAGGGAGTGATGGTCTCATTATTCCCGAAGTTTGATTTTTCCTAAAACAAACATGGTATCAGAGCCAAAACCCTAAACCCATCACCCACATACCTTCCAACAACCACCAGCTATCACCCAACCACCACCCATCATCACCCATCACTAGCCGACAGCAGCAATAGGCCATCCAAGCCCAGCCGGAGGCTACCCAAGCCAGGCCGACACCAGCTGGAGGTCACCCAGGACTAGCTGACAGCTTCTCTGTTTGTTTTAGCCCAGTCGGCAGTCCCTTTGCCCCCTTTGAGCTGTTGTTGATGGCCCTTAGAGGCTTGGTTCATCATATGTATTGATTGGTCCATCTAGAAACCTGTTCTACACCTATAACTTTTCCTCTATTTTTCTGAGAATAGTTCAGCCCTTGTTTTGATTGGAGGTTCCTTTTTCCTTTAACTTAATTTATTTTTTGGATCATTATATGGTCCCATTAATCTGATTGGTATGCTCCATAGTGGTATGTGTTTGATTTTGCTTGTTCCAGTTAAGTCCATTCCACCTTCCCAGAATTGTGATTAGTGCAGTTTTGTGGTTGTGATAGTAGAGTATAAATGGCTGGCTTGTCTAGTGAGTCTATCACTACTTCTCACCCACCTAAAAGGGAGAGTCCCATTATGACTACTACATCTGAGAACCAGAATCCTAGCCTCAAAATCACCACCTCTCTATTTAATGGTCAAAATTACCTTGCGTAGTCGCAGAGTCTGACACTTTTTCAAAAGAGTAAGGGAAAGATGGGTTATGTTGACGGGAGAGTCCAAGTACCAAATATCACGAATCCGGGTTATGAACAATGGGAGATTACCAATTCTTTGATTTTAGGATGGCTCATCCATTCCATGGTTCCTGATATTGGTGCGGGTTACTTATCTATGACGGCCCAGGATGTTTGGGATGCTGTGGCCGCTGCATACTCCCGGAAGGGGAACTTTTCATAGACTTTTGAGTTGCGTTGCTCGATTGAGCCCTTTATACAGGGCGAGATGACCATCCTTCAGTGTTTCACTTTCCTTAGTAATGTTTGGAAACGTCTGGATCACCTTCAGGACTACTAACTAGTTTGTCTAACAGATTTTGTGGGGTACCGCAAATTTATTGAGCAAGATAGAATCAGTCTTTCAAATTTCTAGAAGGCATTAATGTGGAGTTTGATCTTGTTAAGAATCATGTTCTTGGCATGGATTCCCTTCAGCAAGCGTTTGCTTATGTATAGAACAAGGAGAGTCGCCGTTCAGCTATGCTTCCTCCTACCTTCATAAAGTGCTCTGCATTAATTTCTACTCCTCTTAGAGATGGGGATTGTCTGTGTTGTGGTTCAGGCAATCATTCTGAGAAGGATAATTTGTTTTGTGACTACTGTCGCTGGCCTAGACACACTCATGAGACATGTAGGAAGCTTCATGGTACTCCATTTGGGGGTCGTGGTGACCGCTCTAGTGGTCGAGCAGGTCGATCTGGACAATCTCGAGGATGTTGGTTTGACCCATGTGCCTCTCATTTTAGTGCAGTTGATGCACATGACTTTGCTCCAGCTATTCAGTCTACTGATGATGTGTCTAGCATGTCGTTTTCTGAGTTTGGGGTTGTTCTATATCACTTGTTGAACTGCCGAACTTCCACTATTCCTACCGGTACATCTTCCGCTTTGTTTGCCCATTCAAGTATTTTAGCCTCTTCTGTTAGTGTTTTTTTATATCATAAAATTTTGTCTTGGATTATTGATTCTGGTGCCTCGGATGGTGTCTCAGATCATATGACTGGATCTTTTGATGTTTTCTCAAAATATAAGCCCTCTTCAAGTTAGGAAAAATTTTAGGATTGCTGATGGTACCATTTCTTCTGTTTCTGGGAAAGGTTTAATTCATGCCACATCTTCTTTACCTTTGTCATTAGTTTTGCATGTTCTCAATTTCTCTATTAATATTCTATCATTGAGTCATCTTACTCAGGATTTGAATTGTAGTGTAATTTTTTTCCTGATCATTCTCTTTTTTAGGACCTTATCACGAGGTGGATGATTGGTAGTGGTAGAGCAGTGTTCTCGACATCTTGGATCAGGCAAATCACTTGGCTCATCATACCATCCAGTCTCTAACCACCAAGAACGACATTTGGCTTTGGCACCGGTGTTTGGGACATCCATCTTTTTTATTACTTAAGCATTCGTTTTCTTCTTTTATGAACTATAAAGTTTCTGAGTTTCATTGTGAGTCGTGTTAACTTGGTAAACATTGAGTTTCTTTTGCTCCAAGTATTAATAAAAGTTTTGTTCCTTTATCATTGATTCAGCTTGATTTTTGGAGTCGTTCTCGTGTTGTTTCATTAAAAGGCTATAGATGGTTTGTCACCTTTATTGATGATTTTTCTCGCACTACTTAGGTATATTTACTAAAAGAAAATAATGAGATTTTCTTTGTATCTCAAACCTTTCATTAGATGATTCGCACTCAATTTGGGGTTGTTGCAAAATTTTGCATTCTGATAATGGGGGTGTGTATGTTGATTCAGGGTTAGAGCAATATTTCAACACTCATGGCATTATTCATCACACATCTTGCACCAACACCCCTCGACAAAATGGGGTTTCGGAATGCAAGAATCGTCATTTTCTTGATATAGCTCGCTGCATGACTTTTTCTATGCATATGCCTTGATCACCGCTTCCTATCTTATCAATCGCCTTCCTACTCAAGTGTTGCAAAAGCAAACCCCTCTTCAAGTATTCTTAGGTTCTTAATTCGTGTCTTCTATTCCCCTTAAGGTTTTTGGGTTTGTCTATTTTGTTCACAGTCATTCTCCTTCTCATGGTAAAATGGATCCTCGTTCTATTAAGTGTCTTTTTTGGGTACTCGCCTACTCAAAAATGGTATAAGTGTTATCATCTTTATTTTCGTAAGTGGTTTGTGTCTATGGATACCACATTCTTTAAGTCTCAATCTTACTTCTTGTTCTCTCCAGTTTCCTTGACATCCCTTCAGGGGGTGCCTTAGTGTGAAAGATTCCTATTTCTGAATCCTTACTAGTTGTTCCAGTTGTTGGGGAGGTAGCATATGAACCACAGTGTGAACCAATTATTGGGAATATAGAAGCTGATACACTCAAGAAGCAAGGAAAATTTTATGTCAGGAACAAAGAAAGACAGAAGGTTACTTAGATTCAAGAGACCACTTCTCCTGATCTTTCATTGCCGTTTCCTTCAACTGATGAGACTCTAGGTAACTCCAGTAACCCTGAATACACAGATCTTGACATTCTTATTGCCCACCGAAAAGGTGTGAGGTCTTGTACTCAACATCCTATCTTTCATTTTGTTTCTAATTCTCATTTGTCTCCCTCATATAGAGTCTGTGTGTCAAAAATTTCCTCTTTAGTATACCTGATCATTTTCAAGATGCTCTTAACACCCCTGAGTGGAAACATGCCATGATTGAAGAGATGAAAGCACTTCATAAGAATGTCATTTGGGAATTGACTGAGTTAAAGGGCAAATGAACTGTGGGATGCAAGTGGGTGTATATTGTGAAGCATAAGGCAAATGGTTCAATTGAGCGCTATAAGGCTCGGCTTGTGGCAAAAGGCTTTACTCTTATGAAGTAGACTATCAAGAGACATTTGCATTAGTTGCTAAAATGAATACAGTCAGGGTATTGCTCTCTCTTGCAACTAATCTAGGTTGGCCACTTTATCAGTTTGGTGTGAAGAATGCTTTCCTACCTGGTGATTTAGAAGAACAGGTGTATATGGACATTCCTCATGGCTTTGAAGACCTTAAAACAAAGGGTAAGGTGTGTAGGCTTCGGAAATCATTATATGATCTCAAACAGTGCCCAAGGACTTGGTTTGAGATATTTACTCGGGCAATGCTTACATATGGATTCAAACAAAGTCAAGCTGACACACTATGTTTGTTAAACATTCCTCACATGGTAAGATTACAACTGTCATTGTATATGTAGATGACATACTACTTACAAGAGATGATGTTGAAGAAATTCCTCAATTGAAGGAATATTTGACAAGTGAGTTTGAAATCAAAGACTTGGGGAACTTGAAGTATTTCCTAGGTATTGAGGTTGCCCGGTCCAATGATGGAATCTTCATCTGTTAAAGGAAATATGTGCTTGATCTGTTAAAGGAAACTGGGATGCTTGGAAGTAAAGCACGTGACATACCGTTAGAGCCAAACCTGAAACTTGGTGATGATGGTGGAGGAGTTCCTATTGACCGGGGGAGTTATCAGAGACTAGTGGGTATGGTCATTTACCTATCCCATTCACGTCCTGACATTGTTGTTGCGGTTAGTGTGGTTGGTTAGTTTATGCATGCTCTTCATGAGGTACACTTGGTTGCAGTTATACAAATTCTTAGATTCTTAAAATCTTTGCCTAGAAATGATCTTTATTTCTCTAAACATGATCATCATAGTGTGGAAGTTTATACAGATGCTGATTGGGTAGGATTAGTAACTGATAGAAGGTCCACATCTTGGTATTGTACATTTGTTGGGGGAGTTTAGAGCCATGATACAATGTGTGTGTGAACTATTGTGGATCAAGTTATTGTTGAGTGATTTGGGGAGACTCCGTGTGGCTATACCGTGACAATAAGGATGTTATCAACATAGCTCACAATCCAGTTCAACATGACTGGACAAAACATGTTGAGGTTGATCGTCGCTTCATCAAGGAGAAACTCACTAGTGATACTATATGTACTTCTTTTGTGAAGTCTGGAGAATAGCTCACAGATATTCTCACCAAGGGAGTTGCAAGTAAACCGTTCCATGATATTCTTAACAAGTTGGGCATGAGAAATATTTTTGCATCAACTTAAGAGGGAGTGTTAGAATAATATCTTTGTTATTATGGTTTATTATTCTCCAAAATTATTCATGTACAAACTTGCCAATGAAATACATTTGCCTAAGGGCTACTGATTTTTCTTGCAACAATATTTGCATGTTTATTTGCCTATCTTGTATTTTATGTGTTACTTAATGCAAATATTTGCACGATTTACGTACCATTTGAACGGAACAATACTTGCTTAATTAAACTCTATTCTATTTATCTACTTATGCATTACTTAATACATAGATATCTGCATGATTTTTGTGTCAGTCAAAAGTACAACTGTACTTGCACAACATATCCACTTTTGCATAATTAATGTGTTTCTCATCCGAAAGTCACCTTTTAAAATTGCAAGCAAATTAACTACATAAAGTTACCATGCCATTCACTCAATATTGTTAACGCAAAGAAAAGGGGAGCATATTTCTTTAAAGTCTCAGAAAAATTTACATGTAGCACATGCTTTTACAAAACAACGTATGGACAAAAGAAGTGCAATATCACTCACATAAGTCATTGAGCTAGGATCCCAGAAATGTCTAAATTAGAGCTTGGGGGCCTTATATCCTACGCTAAGTTGTTCCCAATCTTGCACAGCCTCTTTGTGCTTGCATGAAACATTAGCCTGAAATTCTGCAATGTTCCCCGTGCAACTTGGATGTTGACTTGAGCCATCATCAATTTTAGAGGATTCCTCACCTAATCCACCATGTAGAAGTTCCACTGTACATCACAGATGACTACCAAGAAAATAAGTAAAGTCTCTCTGGGTTACATAGACAATAGTTTCTCCCTCCAACTGGTTCGTGAACACCCTAAGGATGTTTGAAGTTGTTGGCCCCATTGGTGCATTAAGGTCTTCAATGTTTCTGAAGGGCAAACAACACCTTTAGTTGGATGTGGCATGGTACCTCGTGGGCACAACCTTTAAAAATTCATTGGTGCTAAGGACAAATGACATTGCTTTTCATATGCCTAGCACTCCAAATCTTCTTAAGATGGCAGCAGTGTAAGTTATATTCTCTAAGCTAATGACATGGAAATAGAAAAGAGGGGCATTGCTCTATGACCAGCCTCTAAGTCATAAGGCATCTCGACAGCTTGAGCCTCTGGAATGGGGACTTCTTTTTCTTCCTTTTCTTCTTCTCCCTTTGCATTAGGAGTGGCTTGGGTATACCTTTTGGGCACAACAAATGCTTCAAGTTTGTCAAGGTTGGCATGGGGAAGGGGAACTTACGCAACCTCATTATCTTTCATTGCCAAGAACAAGAACTTCAGTCCTCGTTGCCTAGCAGTGCCATTGTCAGAATGAGTAGCTGGTGCCTGTGTTGAGTGACCCTCCCCTCAGTGACTAAGAAGCACGGACATGGACACATATGTGGACATGGACGTTGACACGGGACACAGTGATTTCAAAAAAATGGGGACAGGGACATAGTTATGGACACGGACACAGGGGGGACACAATAGTAAAATATATTTTTTATTTGCTCTATAGATCAAGATTACATCCACAAACAATCAAAATTGAAAAAAAAAAACCCCTCACTTTGAATTTAGCTCTTACTGTTTATATCTTTTTTTTTTTTTATAGATGATCTATTAAGTATTTAAATCTAAACAAACAATTTTAAACATTCAACATCGAACATCTATCAAAAGCGCCGGGGGGGGGGGGTTGGGGGAACTAGTTGGCCTATCCCCAATGTGTTCCCACCATGTCCCTGGCATGTTCCCGATGTGTTCCCTGAAAACAAATTAATTAAATGAAGGCATACGTTTATGCCCCCATATCCGACACCGCTATGACACTTGTTTTGAAGTGTCCGTGCTTCTAGGTCAGTGATGACTTTGCTATAGTCAAATCATGATTATTCTTAGTATGAACTTCTTGGGTAATGTTGTACGAATCCTGAGAATCCAAACACCTATTATGTAACTCATGAGTTGAATCTCCCCTTTCCTCCATCACGGCGTCACATTCTTTTTTCTCATTTTATCGTTATGTTTTAGAAGTTTATTTTGTTCAAACTTATAATTTGTTTAATGTGTGTCCCCTTGAATCATGTCTGAATCAATTTATTAAAAAACAATAGGACACAGAGTTTGACTCTTAGTTGAAAGTGCTCGGCAAGTGTTAGTGTTTGACTTGGACAAGCCACCTTACTAGTAAAAGTCAAGTTGCCTCATCCAGTACTCATCCCACATGGTAATGAATCAAGGGAACTGCAAAACCCTCAAGACATGCCATCAAAGAGGCTCTAAAGGAAAGCAGTTATTGCTTGAAAGCCTCATTAATGGAATAAGGTGTGTACATCCGTGACATTACCTAGTCATATTTGAATTGGCAAGCAACCCTATAAGGGTTATATATGTTACATGGACTTTTCTAAATGTATGAAGTACCTTTGTCGAATGCTCGATACTTGGGCAAGGGTATATGTGTGTTGAATATTCACCTGGCAAGCATATTTAGTAATATGAATTAACAATAAAACTAAGCATAAAATGTCTTATGATACTTGTGAACACTATTTTACTGCAACAAGAATCTCTTCTCCCCTATTTTGGCTATCTATATTTCCTTGCAATGTATTCTTAAACTTGTAAATAAAATTTGCAGGGAGATTGGGAGCCCTAATCCTGGTGGTTTATCTGATAGAAGTGGCTTGAATAGAAGATTTGATTCACCTGAAGAAAGCACCTATGACTCTTCGTTTCGTTTTCCAACCGGGCATGATGGTGTTGGTTCTGTTGTTTCTGAAGGTATTGGATCTTGTAATTTGTGAAAGATGTGCATGGAGTTCTATGAAGTCTGACACAATTTGTTGCAATTTAAAGGGGACCCTGGCATAGAAGATTTTCAAATTATTGGTGAAGCTAAACCAGGAGGTGTACTTCTAGGATGTGGATATCCTGTGCGTGGAACTTCTCTTTGCGTATTCCAGGTAAATTATTTTGTTTCATTCACATGAAAAATTGACAGTGTTTAATCAATTCTCCATAAATTAAGGTTAACTACTTTTTCATCAAAAATATTTTATTGCATGTCAGTGGGTTCGTCATCTTCAAGATGGCACTAGGCAGTACATTGAGGGTAAGTATTGAATGACCTTTTTTTTATTTTTTATTTTAAATTTTTTTTAATTTACACTACGACTACGACTAAAAGGAAAAAATCATTTATAATATTTTCGCTTAAATTTGTTTCGTTCTCTTTCCTTTTTGGGTTCAGGAGCCACAAATCCAGAATATGTAGTCACTGCTGATGATGTTGATAAACTTATTGCTGTTGAGTGTATACCAATGGATGACCAAGGCCACCAGGTTTTCTATGACCTTTGTTTTAAAGATGTTGTCTTGTGGTATAATTTTCCTTGTTTCCACCATATATTTTCTCTGAACTGAAACTGAGGTTAAAAGTCATGTTTAATGTCATTGATTGACATGGAAAACTCATGCGACCTGCACAGAACAAAAATGGTATAGATTCTGAAGAATTACATTTAGCTTGTTTGTTTTCATTTTTCAAAAAACATTTTTCAGAAAATTCTACTTTCTTATTTTCCGTGTTTTTTTGTTTTTATTGATTTTTTTTAATATTTTAAGCAATTTTTTAACTTTTTAGACACACCTAACATAAATATACCTAAAAAGTAAAAAAATTGTAAAAAAACTTTTTAGACACACCTAACATAAATATACCTAAAAAGTAAAAAAATTGTAAAAAAAATCTTTTAAAAATTTACTAAATACCAAAAATACAAGAATAATACAAGAATTCAGTACATTTTTTGTATTTTTATGTATTTATTAAAATTTTAAAATATTTTTTCACAAATTTTTTACTTTTTAGATACATCTAAGTAAGGTGCATCTAAAAAAGTAAAAAAAATGTTTAAAATTTTAAAAATATTCACTAAAAACAAAAAAACACGAAATATTCACTAAAAACAAAAAAACACGAAAACCAAAAAACTCAGTTTTCAAAAAACTCAAACCAAATACACTGATTAGTTTCGGTTTCATATTGAGTCTCTAAGTATTGGTGCATAATTAATTTTCCATATTCTCTAATGTTGTGTGGTGGATGGTTATTGAAATTCCTAACAAGGGAAGTAAAATTTACTAGTAGTTTTGCGTTTAGTTGTTGCAACAAGTGTTACCAGTGTTATATACGGAATGCGAAAAGCAAACCGCGGTGATGAGGTGGGGCAATGGCTTCATGGAAGCAAGGGAAATACTAAGGTTTTTCTTAATTTTTTTTTTAAATAGGAAATTTTTTTAAAAAAAAATAGATAAAAACTCTCTAATTCAGAAAAGCATGGTGCATCCAACATCCCAAATACAATAATATCAATTGACATTGTAAAAGTTTTATGATTTCTTTTCTATTCCGCAATATTGTCAACTTGGATTTGATTGTATTTAGGAAATTCCAAAAAAAGAAAGCAAATGCACTTAAACTAACCAGTAAAAACAGAAGTCCCAAAGAAAATTGAAACGACAAAAATCCCTAAGAAAAATATTATGAAAAAAAAAAAATCATAGTTGAGTTTTTATTTTTATTTTTTATAATTAAAAATAAAAAACGAAAATCTCAAAGAAAAAAAATGGTTATAGTGAAATCTTGGGCTATTTTCTTTGTCTCTCTTTTCCTGACTACAGTAAAAAAAAATTGGCCTATTTTGTTTGTTTTCATCTTCAATGTTTAGTCAAGAGAAAACGTAGGAAGAGGAAAGAAACGGAGAAAGTTAAAGTGTGACAAATAGAGAGGGATAACACTGATGCTTGGCTAGCTAGGAAGAATAAAATAAAGGAAATCGTTGGGCGCTTCTATTTGCACAACAGAGTTTGTCTCTTTTCATACACAATTTTTGATTTTTTGATTTTACTCAATTCACACCACCTAATCTCCATACTACTTTCATCTTGAACCTTCTTACCCTAACAATAATCCTAACCCATCAGCCTCCACCACCATTCACTGCCAAGGCAGCCGGCGCCCCTCCCTTTTGTGACCTCCTCCCCAGCCTCTTCCTTTCCTGTTGCCCCTCCCCTCCTCTGCCACCCCTTCCTTGGCCCCTCGTTCGCTAGTCCCTCCCCAACCCCCTTCCCCGCACTAGCCTAGCCCCCTTTCCTCCACCACCCATCCCAATAGAGGTGTTCATAGGTTGAATCGAGTTGGGTTCAACAAATACCCGTCACCTGAATCGATGCCCTGGCTTGAATAGGGTGTCATCTAATTTCAGCTAAAAACATGTTCGAAACTAGGCATAGATGGGTTGGCAAAAAGTCAGTCAGAGGTCGAAACGGACCACTGATTGTCTTCCCTAATCTTTAAATAGCCAAGCTCGAAACCATTCGGCATCTTCAAGAACAAACAAAGCCTCTTCAGGATGCAACATCATGTTTTAGGAATTTGAGAGGGGGCAGGTGAAGGGGTTGATCTGATTGTCATCATGATGGGGCTGTTCTAATCATTGGCATTGCATCTATTCTTTCTTTGTTGTTGTTGTTTGATCTTATCATTGCCGTCTGATCTGATCATCTGTGTAGTCATCATAATCTCACCATGGCCTCATTTCGAACTTCGAAAGGGCTTTCAGTGAGGGGCAAAAGGAGATTGGAGAGGGGCAGAGGGATCGAAGAGGGAAGGGGCTGCTGCATATGGCTTGAAAATTAGAATGTGAGAGAGAGATTAGACAGAGATGTGAGTGTTTATTAGGACTCTTCGAAATGGCTGAATAGTTGGTACTTTTTTTACTATAAAATTGTGGATCCTTCTCATTTTTGCTAATGATATTTGGCCAACCTTTTTTAATTAATCTATTATCTTCTCTTCAGAAGGCATAGTTGAACCTTATCTGTAATCTCCATATTTAATATGCTAAAGGCATGTGGAACTCTTATTTGTATATTAAATTTGGTTGGTTGGGTTTCGACAGGTCAATTTGTATCAAAATTGCTGCCAACCATTCAACATAGTGAAATCAACCGTTCAATGCCAGCTCGGACTGGGTCTGTCAGATGGGTCAGGTTTCACAGATCCTTGAACAGCCTTGCTCCCCAGTCCCTCTCCTTGTCGCCCCTTCCTAGCTCTTTTCATTCCTTCACAACACTCTCCTCTTTACCGTCGTCTCTCCCTAGCCCCCTCTCCTCCTTTGCCACCCTTCCCTGACCAACACCAGCACACTGGGCCTCGTAAAGAGAGAGAGAGAGAGTTGTCGAATAAGTGATGGAGTGGTGGCAGAGGAGGCAATTGTAAGTTTTCTGAAGAATCTGTATATTCAATTGTGTAAATTTACAAAGAGTTCATCAGTTTATATAGTCCCAAATCTATGACTGAAAAAGGAAATACTAACTAATTCCTATTTACACAATCATGCCATATATACACAACATGCCACATATATAATATATTCTTATACCCCCGCTCAAACTCAATGTGTTTTAGCAGAAAATATTGAGAGTTTGCTAAAAAAAAACTGAAATCGAGCGGTAGTGTGAGTCTTGGTGAAGAAGTCCGCAAGTTGCAAAGCTGAGGAGACGAAAGGAAACGAGATAGAACCAGACTGCAGATGTTGTCGGACAAAGTGACAATCAATCTCAATGTGTTTCGTCCATTCGTGGAAGACAATATTGTGGGTAATCTGAATAGCACAGCGGTTGTCACAATAGAGAGAGATCGGAGAAGACTGAGGTACACCTAAATCAAAGAGAAGACAACGAAGCCAAACAAGCTTAGCAATAACATGAGCCATAGCACGTTACTTAGCTTCGGTAGTAGAGCGAGCAACAACAGGTTGTTTCTTGCTTTTCTAAGAGATTAAGGAATCGCCAAGAAACATACAAAACTAGAGGTGGACTTGCGATCATTAACATTACTAGCCCAATTGGAATCAGCATAGGCCACCAAGTCTAAAGAGGAAGTAGAGGACAATAGTAAGCGCTGAAAGATGGTACCCCGGAGATAGCGAAGAATGCGAACCAAAGCAGCCCAATGGGTAGAGCGAGGAGCAGAAACGTACTGATTAACTACATGAACAACATAAGCAAGATCAGGACGAATGACAGTCAAATAAACTAAACAATCCACAAGCTCGTGATAGAAAGTGGAATCATACAGAGGGACACCATCAGTAGAGTTGAGCTTCACATTAAGCTCAATAAGGGTATCAGAAACTTTAGTATCAGTAAGACTGGCACGGTGAATAACCTTATTAGCATACTTGGCTTGAGACAGAAAATAGCCCTTTGGAGAAGAGGCAACCTCAATACCAAGAAAATATCGCAATGGATCCAGATCCTTCATTTCGAAGGTGCGGAAGAGATGTTGCTTGACTTCAAAGATAGCAGAAGAGTCAGAGGCAGTGATGATTATATCATCTACATAGAGTAAGAGAGTAACAAAACCAGCCGAGGTATGTCTCAGAAACAAAGCAAAGTCAGAAGCAGAAGGATGAAACCTAAGCTTGGTAACAACAATCTAAAAGCGATCATACCAAACACGAGGAGATTGCTTCAAACCATACAGAGCACGTCTAAGATGACAAACTTGCCCAAAGGAGTGGAGAAGGCCAGGGGGAGGACGCATGTAGATCTCCTCAGTGAGATGACCGTTAAGAAAAGCGCATTCTTAATGTCCATCTAGAGAGGCCAATTTCGAACAGCAGCAATAGAAATCAAAGCACGGACAATAGTCATCTTGGCAACAGGGGCAAATGTCTCATCATAATCAAAACCATATTCCTGCGTGAAACCCTTAGTAACTAAGCGAGCTTTGTATCGCTCGAGAGAACCATCACAATGAGTCTTGACTTTATAGACCCATTTGCAACCAACCAGATTCTTGCCAGCAGGTAAAGGAACCAACTCCCAAATGTTAGTCTTCTGCAAGACAAACAACTCATCCTCCATAGCTTGAACCTAATTAGGATCTTGACAGGCCTCCATGTAAGATTGAGGTTCTGAAAAAAAATGAATAACAGACAAAAAAGTACAATAGGAAGCAAAAAAACATGTATTAGACCAACCTAACCTGTTTGGAGGACGATGCTCACGAGTAGGATATCGGTGTGCAATAGGATCAGAGTCGTCAGAAGCAGGAGGAGCAGCAGCATAAACTAACAACGGTGGAGGAGGAGCCTTGCGGCGAGAATAAACTAACAACGAAGGAGGAGAAAAAGCAGAAGGAGAAGCAACCAGAGGTGAAGCAAGAGGAGAAGATGGAACAAGGTCAGGAGGAACAGTGGAGATAAACTCATCAAACGGGATCTCAAAGGGAAATGGATTAATATGAACCAAATCTTCTTTGGAAACTGAGGCGGTGAGAGGAGGAAGCGGAAAGTAAGATAGACATTCAAGAACGGCGAGATGGCAGGAGACATAAAGGCGACGGGAAACAGGGTCATAACAGCGATAACCTTTCTGAGTGAGACTATAATCCAAAAAGACGCATGGGATAGACTGGACACTAAGTTTGGTCCTATCTTTACGGGGTAAAAGGACAAAACAAGCAGACCCAAACACACGAAGGAGGGAGTAATTAGGAAGTTGGGAAAATAGAGCCTTATAAGGAGACCAACTAGAAAGAAGGGGGGCATGCATACGGTTGAGAAGAAAAGCAGTAGTAAGAACTGTCTCACCCCAAAACGGAGCCGGAACGGAGGTAGAGAGAAGGAGAGACCTATTTGTCTCAAGAAGATGACGGTGTTTACGCTTAGCTCGACTATTTTGGGCAAGTGTATCAGTACAAGAAGCTTGGTGAATGGCACCCAATTTGGCCAAGTATTCACAAAATTTAGTTTTAAAGCATTCCCCACCCAAGTCAGACCGCAACAATTTAATAGTAGACCCAAACTGTGTAGTGACCATAGACTAGAAAGTAAGGTATATCAGGTAAAAGTCAGACTTGTGAGTCATAAGATAAACCCAAGTGTAAGGGGTGCAGCCATCAACAAAATATACATAGTATGCAGAACCCCCTTTGGTGAGAACAGGGGAAGAGCCCTAAACATCCGTATGAACTAAAGAAAATGGTGTATCAAATATAGAAGTACTTTTATGAAAAGGTATGGCTGTCATTTTGGCAAGTTTACACCCCCCGACATTCAGTAAGTTCACTAGGAGAAACTTTACCCAATATACCCGACTAAGCTAAAGACCGTAAGTGATCAACAGACAAATGCTCTAATCTAGAATGCCACAAGTAGAAAGAACTAGACAGAGAATCCAACTGAAAAGAGGAAAAGGCAGTCTGAGTGGTTACCATAGCTAGATACAAGCTCTCCGCAACATAGAGGCCTCTAACTCTACGACCGGTCCCAATCTGCTGCTTAGACATCCGATCTTGCATAGAACAGATAGAACAAGAAAAGATAACATCAAAACCAGAGGCATCAAGCTGACTGATAGATGGTAAACTGACAGATAACTGAGGAACATATAAGACAGATGGGATAGAGACAACAGATATAGCAAATGGTAGGACAGACCCAACAGATATGACTGACATACCAGACCCATTAACATCATTGACAGTAATAGGAAGGGGAAAAAGAGTACAATTTTGAAGTAAGGAGAGATGAAGAGTTATATGATGAGACGCACCAGAGTCAAAAATCCAAACAGATGAAGAGATACTTAAAGAAGACCCAAGCAAACCTGAATGAAGAGAGAAAACAATGGAGGCAGACGGGGATGGCTGGGAGGTAGACAATATATGCCGAAACTGACTAATCAGTGTATGTTGAAGCTGACTAATCTGAACAGTTCAAAAAAGCCAAGTAAGGATCAGGAACCGGAGCAGATGCAGTAGAACCGACGGGAGGTTGAACGGTACACAGAGGAGGAGCACATAACTTGATCGGAAATTGCTGAGAAGATGAGGCAGACACGGTGAAGTAGACAGACATCCCTTCTTGGGACAATGATACTTTCAATGACCCCTCTGATGGTAAAAGGCACACTCATCAGAAGCTAGAGACATTATGGTAACCAGAAAACTGAAGAGTTCAAGTGCAATCAAACAAAATAGCCAAACCAAGGGTTCAAGTGTAATAATCACAATCTAAGGTGTCAAACTATAATAATAAAGAACTTATTTAGTTCAAACAAGAATAAAAGAGAACTGGGTCAACCAAATGTAGAACCAGGTCGTGACTTCGAATCACATACAGAGAGAGGTCACAAACTAGGTCACGGCTTCGAACCATATACAGCGAGATGTCATAATCAGTCGACTTCAAACCACATACACAGAGAGACAAGAGTCGAAGTCAACTTTGGAGCAACTGACACAGAGCAAAGGGTCGAAGCCGATCGAGAGGAACAACGGCAGACAACCATTTGATCGTGTGAATCGAAGTAGGAGAGAGCCAGGGATGCAACGAGATGAGCTAGACGCAACTCATGAACTAGAACCAGAACTTCCACCAGAATAATCCCGAATTAAGAGAGAATAAGCCCAATTAATTCGTGATTCAGAAACTAGAGAAAGAGTTGGTGAATCAAGCAGCTAGGGTTTCAAACATGGCTCTGATACCATGTAAGTTAACTGAAGAATCTATATATTCAATTGTGTAAATTTACAAAGAGTTCATCTGTTTATATAGCCCTAAATTTATGATTGAAAAAAGAAATACTAACTAATTTCTATTTACACAATCATGCCATATATGCACAACATGCCATATATACAATATATTCTCATAGCAATTTTTAGTGATCCGAGGAGGGGGTGTGTCACGTCCCAAGCTCCGTGACAACGCCGCACACTCATTTAAGTGAGCATGCAAGGCTAAGAGTCCAACACATAACTAACAATGTAAAATACTCCAATCAAATCCTTAATTATCATAATACTAAAATCCATAAAAAAAAAAATTGATTATTCTTATCATATGAAATTATCCACCAAGTCCACTAATAAAATCCATTAACAAAACAAATAATCCAAGTACTTAAATCATAGTCCTACTCTCGGCACTCCCATATGTAAAAAAAAAAAATTCCGCGCAGCTCTACTCTTCAGAATCTGAAAAAAATAAAATAAGGGTAAGCTAGACAGCCTAGTAAATAACCAACCATCACTGCCAGCTGGATCAAGTATCATATATACAATATATTCTCATAGCAATTTTCAGTGATCCGAGGAGGGGGTGGCTGCTTAGGGTTTCAGGTAGAAGATGATGGGGGCGTGAGAATAGAAGATGAGGGTATTTTGGATTTTTGCTTGAGGGATACAATCATAACTAAAAAAATAAGTAAATGAAGAAATGATGTGAATTGAGAAGATATGCGGTGTGCAAATAGAAGCTCCCGAAACCCTCTCCTTTTGACGTTGAATGCAGACCAAAACCTCCAATTACCTCCCCCTTTATTTTGCAGGAGACGACACTCCAACAATCTCAAGGAAAATGTTTCATGAACAGAATTTTTTACAGAAGATCTATCCTAAATTATGTTGCACTGATACTTTTGAAATTATGAGCCACAATGGTGGGTTTTTGGTTTGAACAAACAAACAAACAAACAAACAAACTCATTCGAAGATCCACATCATCCTGTATAAGAATTTTGTACGAAAGCTTTGTTTGTATAACATCACTCTTCATACAGTGTAGAAGCATTAGGTTGCCTCCCTCAATTTATTGCAGAGCCAAGAGACCTCAAACACTAGCAAAGAGACCTTTGGCCCCCTTTCCACTATAAGCACAGCACCCTTCTCCTCACCAAAGGTTTTCGAGATCGAAGGTGTTGGCCTCTAGTTGGATGATCTTCTTCGTAGTTCTGGAATCAGCCCTTCTTCTATTTGACTTCTTTCTGAACTTTGAACCTGTAAAACTTATCCTTTAAGTTTATACTGAAGACAATGTCATAGCAGGTGAACTTTTGCCATGTGCCCATCCCCTTTCCTCTACCCCTGGCCCTATTCCAAGTAAAGAAGACAATCAAAAAGATGTATAATTCAAAATTTCCAGATGGTACCAAAAATAGATTAAAAAATATTTCTTAACAGTTTCTGCAACCGGTCGATTATAGGTTGAGTTATGTGAAATCATATTGTTACCAAGAGGGTGTATGGGGAATATTTCATTAGAAGTGGAAAGAAAAAAGGAAAAGGAATTTATAAGATGACTGTGGAATGTTGATATATGTTCACTTTTTGAGGAATAGATCATGAGGCTCAATTGTGCTGTAAGGTATGATGCCGTTGGACTGCTGATAACGTGTAATATGATGGTTTGCATTCACCGGAGAGCAGGGTTGGCTGGACATCTAATTGATAACACAAAATAGTTTTGAACTCTTGGATGGGTTTTGCCAAGCTTCACCTTGTTTGAAAAAAGACATTGTTTAACAGTTAATGTACATTAGCTGTAATAGTCATGAGTATTCTGAAAGTATTGTTCGTGTAGTGGAATGCTATGTATAAGTATGACTGCCTTCAGTTCTTAGTTCATTGTAATGAGGGTTATTCGATTATAATTTCTGATAAATAGAAGTTAGGAATTACAACAACATCACAAAGGAGTTCTAACAATTACTTATATTGGCTACTGTGTTCTTTCCATAACATTAGAGCTAACCTCATTTCGTGTCTTTTGAAGAGGTTTTACATTAGACATAACCTCATTTCATAACAGTAGAGGTCCCTAAGAATATGTCATTTGCACCTGGACCACATCAAATTAATCATTGAGTCAAAATACCCGTATCCGTGTATTTATTGTCCTAAACGATTTTCCCATACTGACAATTTTCTGTTTTTACTAGTTTATTAGAATCTCTCTCTGCCTCTCTTCATATGTGGTTATCTAATTATCCATCTGTTTTTGCCAATCTCCAATATAGGACCTCCAACTTTTAAGGTTTATGTATTTTGAAACCATTGTGTTTGAAAAATGTTATAGAATTCAACAGTGCCAAATATAGTCACTCCATTGACCCCAAATTCATAGCTGTATTAATAAATTTCTTGTGGATTCATTCATTGTTTGCTGGAAATGGCACTTTTCAAATGTTATGTTCTTCAATGCAACTTTTTCTCTTCTTTTTTTGTGTGAGATTCTCTTTCGAAAGCATTGCTCTTATAAGAGGTGCAATTTTTCTTATGCATAGTGCATGAAAATTTTGGCTTCCTCAATCTTTGTGCTAATATATTCTTTATTATCAGGGGGAACTGGTGAAACGGTTTGCCAATGATCAAAACAAAATTACATGTGGTAAGTCCATGATTTGAATTGATGATTTATGAAATGTAATAGCCTTGAAAATCCTAAATCCTGAATTCCTGTGCATCACATGCATCTAGTTTTGAATTTCATTTGTCATTCTTTGCACTGTATTTCTATTTGGTTTTGGAACTAAGGTCTTGCTGTTACATGATGAAAGTTTGAACATTTTTATTTCTTTTGTTCATTTTATTTTGGCAATATCCTGCGAACTGTGAAATGTATAAGTTATTTAGTATTTACTATAGGGGTATTTTAGTCATTACGTTACTTAGACTTTTCTCTTTAATTCTTTGTATAAGAGGGTTGCTATTTGCCCCCACCTTTTAATGTTTTTTCTCCAAACATAACACTTTAATGTAACACTCAAAAAAAAAAAATAAAATAAAATTTCTTTGAACCCCCACCTAGCAAAATAAAGTCTCTCGATTTTCTCTTTAAACCTCCACCTTAATACCAACTACACCCCTAACTCCAAATTGAAGCCCAAACCCAAACCCAAACCCTAATCCCATCCCCACCAACGCCGTCCAACCTAGCACTGGCGTTGGCATCCCTCGAAGTCCCAGCCCTGCACGTTGCCATCTTTCCCCCACTTCACTTTTGCAACTCCAACCAGCGACCCCCGCCAAAATCAGACCCACAAAATCAAAATCCTAAAGGAACTCCGGCCAGCCACCACTGCCACTTCATTTCTGCAACTCTGCCCTTCTCTCCTCCCCTTCTTCTTCTTCTTCCCCCAAAACCCTAATAGTCGAACAAATCCTTTATGTTCAACACTGTACTACCGAACCAAAAGGATTTATTCAGCATTGTGTTGCCGAACATTCAAGATTCGTTCAGTACTGTATTGCCGAACCCACTCCACTATTGTGGCCTCCCCATCCATTGCGAGAGAGAGAAAGAGAGAGGTGAAAACCTAGGGGTTTGGAAGAAGAAGAATAAGAGGGAGAAGAAACAGCGACAAAACCCATGATTGGCGATGGCCTTTGCTTTGGAGATCAAACCCAAAGCCGAACCAAAACCACCAGCCCCTCTTCCGCTGCCCTGGTCTATCATCATCGTTGAAGTCCAACCAAAACTCGCGATCTCTCTCTCTCTCTCTCTCTCTCACATACTGCAAGTGATAGTGGGTTGTGGGGTTAGGGTTTGAAGGGAAGGGGTGGAGAGGCGGCATCAGAGAAGGAAAGGGACTAACCGGAGGTGGTGGTGAAAGGGGGATGGTGACAGCCAGCGGTGGTAGTGACTGTTGGAGGTGATGGGGATGGGATTAGGGTTAGGGTTAGGGTTAGGGTTAGAAGATTAAGGATGAGAGTAAAAGTGGAATTTTAGGTTGGGATAAAATTGGAATTAAAAAAGAAATGGAGGAGGTGGGGTTCTAAGAAGAAAGGATAGGGGTTAATAGCAATGCTCTTGTATAAACATGTGATTATTTTGTGGTTAATACAATACAATTTTTCTTAGTATAATTTATTTTGTGTTTTCAAGAAGCCCTTAATATTTCATCTACTGTTTGTTACCTATACTGTCATGCATTTAGCAGCACCAGAAAACATGTTTCTTCGAACACCATTTTTAGTTATAGTTGTGCCAGTTGCCTTGTAAGTTTCTGTGCCAAAAGAAAATTTAACTGAGATGTTGCTGTAGATGGATCCTTCATTTTGCATTATTCGTTGATAATTATTTAATTTTTTCGGTACATATTCCTTGGTAATTATAATTATAATTATGACGTACACTTCTTTTTTTTCATTTGGTCCTGTCCTTTATCTATTTGGATTTTATTCTCTCATAAAGTTTCTAACAAAACTCTTGTATCTTTTAGACCCAGATATGCAATTGGAGATTGACACACATATCTCTAAAGGTCAAGCCACATTTAGCGTTCTACTGCTGGTAGGTTCAATTCAGCTTTTACATTTGGATACGTGGCTTTGAAGTGAATGGATTTCTTCTTTCATATTCTTTTTTCATGTTCAATGTCATAGCCATCTCATTACTATTAATGGGACAGTTTGTGCTTGGTCATAACAATTGAAAGATAATTTGGAACATGGTTTTATTTCTTTAGTTTAGAGTTCCAAGGATTTAGGATTTATAATTTAAATGGAAAGTTTAAAAAACAAGAACTCTGTCTCTCTGTCTCTGTCTCTCTCTCTCATATTTCACATATCTCACAGTCAGTATTCTTCTTCATGTTACAATCCTGTTTTAATTACTTTCTTTGTCTCTATCTAGTTATCCTTTGTTTTTTTGTTTGTATAAATATTATTTCTATGGTTATTCTCAACTCATACATGGCTGAAATTCAACAGGAATTAAATGGTATTTTCTAAAGTTTGTTGCTTCTGTCAATAATGATAAATATATAATAAAAATAAGTAGAGAAAGATTTAATTAAATGGAAGGATTTTTTTTTGTAATGAAAACATCTATTTGATTCGTTGGCCTAGATACTCCATTGATGAAGATTTAGATCTCATAGATTTGACATGTTAATGGATTACTCAGGAAAGAAAATAATCAACATGATAAATCCTATGAGCTATGAAGCACAAACACTTAAAAATAGACACCGTAGAGGTGTCAGACACGGGGACACATGTCCCTTTAATTTTATTATTTTTTTTGCAGGGGACACGGTAGGGACACGCCAATGTACTGATTTATATATAGATATATAGAATTAATGTTAGTTTTTATTAATTTTGATTGTTTGGTAACAAAATATTAATCTACATAGCAAATATATATAAAAATAAATAATAAAAAAATTTACGTGTCTCCCGCCGTGTTCGTGTCCCTATTTTTTTTAAATCACTGTGTCCCATATCCGTATCCATATATGTCCATGCTTCATAGCCTATGAGCAACGAACAAGGAAAGACAACTATTAATGAAAAATGGACCAAGCATAAAAAAGTGAAGGGTAACTTGCATTTATTATCTGGTTTCAATTAGTGTTTCAGTTTTCTTCGGATAATTATATTGGTCAATATGTTTTATTAGTTGAGACATTTTATTATTATTTGTATTTTTCAAAAGAAGTAGACTAAGAAAAAAGAGTTTGGTGGGAAATTTGATGGAGAAGTTTAACTAGGCCCTTTTGAGGGGACGTAACTTAAATGGGGTGAAAAAATATTTTCTTGAAGTATTTTAATCCTCTCTGCACTCCTGATTTGGTTGAGATTAAATGGTTGCTGCAATTTGGCTGACTGAAAGGTGTGATGGTTTGGAGGGGCTTACTCCTGTGCACACACATACAGAGATCCATGCCCACACTCGCACCTTTTTTACCACCTTTTTTTTCCTTTAATTTTTTTTGTTTTTTGTTTTTGTCCTGAACAATGTGTCCTTCATTCCATGCTAATGTGATCTATAAAACTTTAATTATTTTTTTCTCATTTTTCTAAGATAATTATTATTTTTTTACATGCTATTGATGGAATCTTTTCTTGATTATGCAAATCTTGTTGTTTGACTCAAATTTAAAAAGTGAGGTTCTAAAAGAGATTATTTTAACCAACTTTCTGGTGTTCAATAATTGTGAGACATTTTGCCTTGATATATTCAACAGATGGATTCTTCTGAGAATTGGGAGCCATCAACTCTCATTTTGAAACGATCGAACTACCAAATTGAGCTCAACAAAACACAAGTTGTTGCAATTGCTGAGAAATTCTCAAAGGACTTATCTGTATGTATTTTTACTTTTATGTGTTACCTTGAAAAGAAAATTCTGAAGGCCTTGTTGAGATTTAAGGATTTATTCAGTAGGCTGCCTGGAACTATTAAGAGTTGTGCTGATTGTTTAAAATTTATATTAGTCAACTTGTTTGACATTCTAGTTTTGATATAAGGTCATCCGTAAATGCTTGTAGTAATATACAACTGTGTCATATTAATTTTGAAAAGACTAACAATTGATTTCTTGTGGCTATTTATGTATTATATATATATATTGTATAAAACATTTTTGTTGCTTAGTTGTAATTAAATGTCTACATTATACTAGCACTTAAACTATTAAGCACATATGCATAGTAAATTCTCATTACAAGAGTAACAATTCATCATCAACAACACGTCTTTTTACTCCTCACTCCTCAGAAACCCAAATTGAAAGATTTATCAAAAAATTGCAATCCTTTAATTCCTAGGAGATAAGTCAAAATATGAGATATGCATAGATGTTATTTATAAATTTTTCTTCACTTGTTAGCTTTTCTTTCTTTCTTTCTTTCTTTCTTTCTTTCTTTCTTTCTTTCTTTGGGATTCATATGTTTGAGTGGTCTCATCCCGATTGGAATTGCAACCATATCTTGACCGGAATGAGGTTCTGAACAAGATTCTTGCTTCGAAGTTTGAATTGTAGAATTGTGGTCCTAGAGTGGAAGTTGGGGTTGGGGTTGGTGTTGTGCCTTGTGGAACAACACCCATGCTGTGAGGCCCCGTGGGGGTGTATCCCGAGCCTTTTCCAATTATTTGAGACGTTCATATTGTCTGGTTTGTTGAGTATATTATTCATAAAAAATAAAAAATAAAAAATCAAGTTAATCGGACATACGTAACCCCATGATTAGCCCTAATTATTTTTAAAAAATTATCATACTTACACCAACTGTTTATTTTTGTTTAAAACAAATGTGATCTTATTATGGGGTTACAAATGTCCAATTGATATGATTTTTTTTTTTATGTATAATATATTCGACAAACCTTATAACATGAACGGTTCGAATCATGAAAATAGGCTCGAGACACGCCCCGACGGGCCTCACGACACGTGTGCTATGCCATAAGGCACAACACCTACCCTAATTACCCTAGAGTGGAAACTGCACCCCTACTAGGAGTTTCTTTCAACTAAGCTTCATCGTTCCTTTCTCTAGAAAGATTCCCAAAACTAGTGTAGTTTTTTTAAGTTATGTATCCTGCCTAAATTAATTCCTTCTTTTTATATGTTTTCTAATATTGATGATGTCTTCTTCAAAAAAATAAATTATTGCTCTCTCCGCTTGATTCTAACCAAAAACTTCCTAATAAGAAAAACAAAGAACTTAAATTTTTTAGCATCAATTTGTGTTTGCTTTCCTTAATTATATTCATAGTTATTAGGGAAGCCTTTGATTATTGACTATTCAATTTCAAACCGCGTGCTTTATTTTCTCCAAAATTTAAGAAATCCATGGTTTGCATTTATTATGTAAAGATTATGTTAATTGATGACAATAATTATATCTTTCCTATTTTGAAAAAAATTAAAATAAAAAATTCCTAACCAAGTATTCTACTCTTTCTATATTTATGTACATGTATATCTATACTACATTTTGTCTTTCCTTTTTTACTCTTTCTTCTTTCTTTCTTTTCCTTTCCTTTCGGGTCTTTTTTTTTTTTTTTTTTTTTTCCCTTTTTTGAAGGGAGGAGGATTGGAGTTAATGCTTGAAGTTGCATATGGTTATGTTTCAAAGATTTCTCCTAGGAATGATTTTTTTTTTTTTTGCCAATAGGTAGGAGAGTAATTACAAATCAGCAATGCTAGGTATCATGAAAATCTTTCATGAAAATAATCATGAAAGTTTTGTGACTTTTGGATTGCACTTAGAATAAAACGCCACATATTAATCAAGGTAATCCAAAGATCATAAATCTTTCATGATCATTTTCATGAAATTTTTTCATAATTCCTAACTTTTCTCATTACAAATATGAGAAATATTTACATTATCAAACAAACTACTAGCTTACAATAGCTAGAAAGTCAACAAGCCTGACACAACTAATATACCAAGCCCAAGCCCAACAACCACTACTAACTACAAACAATCCCCATTATGGGGGAGAAATAAACCACACCACCAGAAATGGTATTAAACTCCTCTCTATAGGAGTTGAACCCAAGATCTCATACCACAAAGGGTGTTTACACAACCACTAGGCCAAATGCTCCTGGTTCTCCTAGGAATGATTGACTTATGAGTTTTGAGTAAGTCTACGTACACTTGCAACTTACAAGTTTACTCACAAATAAACCGAAAGCTGATGTGGCACTGCCACTTCAGCAAAACCAGGCTCCCCAATTTATAAAACCACATTTCGTCTCTCCAAGACCTGGTTGAGATACAACTCCGGCCACACAGCCTCACCGGTAGTCTCCTTTGTTCCTCTCAAAAGGCAATAATGTGTCATCAGCCAAGTTGATGCAAATTCTCAAGTCTTGCTACCAGTTTGAAAGGGTTGTACAAATGCTATACTTAGCCCACATGTTCAAAAAAACTTGAACAAAATTATAATTTGGATTGATAAAAAACTATCAAAGCCAGTTAACCATTACAAACCACACCAACACAAACCACAAGCAGCAACAAAACATATGGAGAATGTCACATCCCAATCTCCGAAGATATTTTGAAATCCTTAAATTGTTAAATCAAAATAAATTTTCCATATCAAAAGTTTTTAAAACCCTAGAAACTGTTAAATCAGATAGCTTATTTGTCCTTTTTTCTCGTCGATATTCCATCCTCTTCCAGGCTGTAGTTGGTTGTGGTTATTGGTTCCTCGAGATAGAGCTCTCGAAAGGCTGAGGGACAAGAGAGACTACATAGACAGAAATTGAGGGACAAGAAGGAGAGTTTCGTTTTTTCAGAGAGGGGAGGAGGGAAAGATACAGACGGTTTGGAGGAGATAGACCGTAAGAGTTCTCTGGTTTCTAACTAAGATGGAGATGAAGGCTATTTTTTACAAAAAAAAAGTTGTGGGGCCTGATTTTGCTGATGTGGCAGCACCACATTAGCTTTCGGTATATTTGTGAGTATTGGAGTCCTTAAGTTTCGTAAATTAGCCTTACAAAGCTGGCCAACTACTTTATATAGCTAAAAGAAAGTTTTAAGCTATGAAGTACGGATACTTCAAAAAGGGTGACGTATTCGTATCGGATACTTATCGGATACCGATACTCCTCGGATACTCGCGGATACGTATCGGATACTTCTTAAAAGTATCGGATACTTCTTAATTAATTTTTTATTAATTTTGAAGTATCGGATACTTAATTTTGAAGTATCGGATACTTGAAGTTACATATTACTTATAATATTTTGTTTAGTTCTTTGATAAGAGGAATATAGTGAGAGTTAAAGTAATAGAATTTGTCAAATTGATGTATCCTTGTTGTCTCTCTCACTTCTCTCTCGCTTTCTCACTCTCTCACGTTTCTTCTCTCTGCTCTCATTCTTTTTTTGGTGTTGGCATGTAAGGATGATGTTTAATTTGCATTTGCATTTGCATTTGCTTTTGCTTTTGCTTTTAGTTTTGGATGTTTTATGAATGTTTGAGCACTTTTAGGTTAATAGGAATCCCTCTTTTTATTTATTAATTTACTTTAAGTTTTATTTTCATACATATTACATTATTAAAATTATAATTTTCTTTTTTTTTACGAATGTATCCCTGCTGTACCTGTATCATACTTTTTCAAATTTTGACATATCGCCATATCCACATCCCCATATCACCATATCCGTATCCGTGCTTCCTAGGTTATCATTGATGACTTAAAAAAGTATATTTGTTGAAATTTTTATTTAAGAATGGTTTTTTGGCTTTAGCTAAGGTCTGTGATATTCACTGATGAAGGGGAACAAGTTGAAGCTATTGACCTTGAAAACTCTTAGTTTTATAGGAATTTTTCTTCTTTATCAAGTTATCTTTTGCTTTAGGTTTTATTTTTATGCATACTGCATTACTAAAAATTGTTAAAATAATATTTTTTACGAACGTATCCCCGCCGTACCTGTATCCTAATTTTTCAAATTTTGTCGTATCGCCGTATTCGTATCGTATCGTATCCATATCCCGTATCCGTATCCGTGCTTCCTAGGTTTTAAGACTTGTGACACCAACAACCAAAAAAGTAGTCACACCTTCTAAAGCTTATATACATATTTATCTGTGAGATACCATCTTTTGACAACATTGTGAGAATTTCTCTAAGATTTGATAAATATTTCCACATGAATATTTCTCAAGGGTATTCCCTATTGGCAGTTTTTAATTTATTAAACTTTGACTTTCTCAAAAAAATATTTTTTTAAAATCCACATGAAGTCACATTATTAAACACAGTATTTCGTAATGTTATCTCACATATTTGATTTTGCAGATCAAAATTCCTGTTGGGCTCTCAACTCAATTTGTTTTAACATGTTCAAATGGCTCTTCACATCCGTTAAGCACACATAATGATGTTCGGTAATGATCTAATTTCATGCACTTAGCTGTCTTTATATTTATTTTAGTCTCAGAATTCATCTTTTTCTCATATTTTGTGTCATTGTGGAGTTGCAACTTTCCATGCTCTCCAAGATTTAAATAAATGAAAAGGAAAACTACCAATAACTCGTTATGTCGACTGTATAAGTAAATTAAACAAATAGGAATGTAAACCGCTGAATAAATAAAGATGTACATTTCTATTTCATTGTACTCTTCTTGTCCCTTTATTAGCCCTTTATCATGTGAGTGCAGTTGCATATTTTGGTAAGGTCTTTCAGTTGTGTCAGTAGGGGAAAAAAAAAGAAAGAGAAAAATAAATAAGAGGGATTTTGTTATCAATTTGATTTCGCAGCTCCAATTCTGCAGTATCAAGCCATAGAAGACTGAGAGAAGCTTTTGAGGGACCTAAAACAGGCTTTCTAGCCCTGAAAGTCATTCTACAAATGATCTGGGTACTCATTGATCTCACCCAAATATGCATAGTACAAGTTGATCTCTGTATTTTGTTTTTGCTTTTTCCTTGTCATTATTTGCTTTGTATGTTGATGCTTCATGATCTTCTTCCCATGAACTTCCTTTGAAGTCCATTAAACTCCCTGCTTCCCTGATAGCTCGAGGTCATTCACTTTCTCCTTCCTAAGTTTGTTCTGTGACCAAGACTGCAATCCAGCCTTTAACCCTTTCAGTGTCAAAGCAAAGCAAAACCTTGATCGTGCTTTCGTGAATTTACCATACAATCAGCACAAAACCTTATTTCTATCTGCTTCTTCCTGAATGATTTTCTCCTCTAAATGGAAATTCTTTTACCATACCTTCTAGGTTTTGATGAGTTACATCGAGGAATCTTTTCCATTCTTAAAATCTTAGTACAGCATGTTTGATACTGCCTTTGTTCCCCCATTTTTAATGGCCACTATGATGTGTTTTGGATGCCTAATAAACTTGGAAGCTTTCTGTTTGGCTATTTAACTGTTATTTCTATCTCAGAAGCAACAGTCTTTTGGTTAAACTGTGGAGGAAAAATAAAAAAATAAAAAAAATTTATTGGAATACCAAGATGTTGTGCCCTCTCCTTATGTTCAATGATGTCTGATGTGGCATTATTCTTTCTTTTGCAGAATGCGTGATACTCTTGTTTTGACTATGAGAATGTTCCAAAGCAAGGTATTTTTTTCAGCATAATACCTAAGATATCTTCTATACTTCCCAAAGTGAACACACTTTTCTTGTTTATTATTCACAATCATTTGTTCCCTATAGTCATGAGTATATGCAATTTAGCATCCCGTAATGTGCTTGAAAATTTGGCATTGTTTCTCCAGGATTGAATGTTAAGTCCCATGTTGAATGTTATCAACAATTAGGGTCCATTTGGGTAATTGTAGATATCAAATAAAGGGATTTGAAGTTAAATGGATAAAAAAAACACTGAAAGAAGATAAGTTGAGATAGAAGATACATACATTTTAGTAGGATCCTTAGGCAGTGTTTGGTTCAGTGGAATGTAGTGAAATGGAATGATCATTCCATCAAAATGTCCATTCCCATGTTTGGTTGACTAAAAAAATAATGAAAACTATATGCAAATAGAATCATCATTCACCATTAATGGAATGACTATTCCAATAACCATTCAATTTCATCTTATTCCAATGAACCAGATAGAACATAGCTAGAAGGAGAATCCTTTATGGTGATTTCAAATCCATCAAGATTAAGTTATTTAACTCAATCTTGAAATTTATAAGTAAACTATCATATCTAAATTTAAGTGATAGCCCTTGAATGATTAAAGTTAAATCCTTGATTTGAAATCCGCATCTATCCTAATGGACCCTCAGTCTCTGGTATATCAAGATACTTGAGATGCCATCAACAAATTTGCTTGTGTGTTTGGATCATGAACGTAGATCGGAATATAATTTAGTCAAAGGAAGGTGAGGTGATAGTATGTTGAGTCGCCAATTATCCTAAAATCTTACATTGTTAGGAAATGGGCTCAACAATTTATATGTTTCAATGTAGTCCACTCTATAAAAGGTTTACAATAAATGTCAATATAGTCGAGACTCAAACCCTTGATTCAACATTTTATATCTCAATCAGTTCATGTCTTTTCTATTATTATGGGACAAAGATAATGTGAATTAGAACATACAATATCATTTTGTTGAGATAGTACCTTTGTTATTTTCAGTCGGATTTAGTAGATATATCAAACTTTCTAGCTTTCATTTATCTTTTTCATTATTTTTGTTGGGTTTAGTTCAATATCATTTTCTTTTTTCTTTTTTCTTTTTTTTTAAACTTTTGGACAGGCATTGGATGAAAGGAGGAAAGGAAAGGCGTAAACCATCTTTATCAATTAAGCACACCATGTTTATACTCATTAGTCATTCTTTGTAGAAAGTAAAGAAAGAAAAAAACAATAAATCTGCATAAGGTTTATAGAGTAATCTTAATAGAAAAGAGGGAAAAACATTCATATAATTATGTCTTTTTTTTCTTTTTTTTTTTAATTCTCTTTTATTTTAATGTAGTTGTAATTATGAAGTCATCTTTAGACCATGGATAAAAAAGTTGTATTAGCTTTTAATAATTTCTTTAAAATTTTTGTTGCGGATGATTAATCTACCAATCTCTCTACTCGGTTTTTGTATTGTTAATTTGTTAAAAGGCTGAATTAATGTGACGAACACATGGTTTGTTTGGTTGCTTTAAAATTTTTCATTAAACTTTCTCATGATAAGAAATTTTCATTAACATCACGCTGTTTACAATATTAATCACTCTGTTTTAAAAAAGTTGTATTAGCTCTTAATAATTTCTGTAAAATTTTTGTTGCGGATGATTAATCTACCTATCTCTCTACTCGGTTTTTGTATTGTTAATTTGTTAAAAGGCTGAATTAATGTGACGAACACATGGTTTGTTTGGTTGCTTTAAAATTTTTCATTAAACTTTCTCATGATAAGAAATTTTCATTAACATCACGTTGTTTACAATATTAATCACTCTGTTTGGTTTCAGATTTCAGAAGATTTTACTTTTTCATTTTTTGTATTTTTTTGTTTTTATTGAATTTTTTTAATATTTTAAGTAATTTTTTTTTTTAATTTTTACACACAACTAGCACAAATATATTTAAAAAGTATAATATTTGTGAATTTTTTTCTAAATATCAAAAATATAAAATAAAAAAAAATGAAAATTTAGTACATTTTTTACATTTTTGTATATTTATTAATTTTTTAAAATATGTTTTTGTAAATATTTTACTATTTAAATAAGTGAGGTGTATCTAAAAAAGTAAATTTTTTTTTAAAATTTTTAAAAATATTCATTAAAAATAAAAAAAAAATACGAAAAAAAAAAAATTATATTGAATTCAGAAAATTGTAACAAAATACACTGAATGGGTCTTAAACTCCTCTTCTCTGTCAAAACTCTGCTAGGGATGTTATTGAGAGAAGATGTTAGCGGAGATGTGCAATTATACGAATTTAGAATGGGCACAATTCACAGGAAATTTCGAAAGCTAAAAGATGGTTATAGGTATTAAGCTGTTAGAGAACGATCCTAACATCATTCTATCTCTCTCGCTCTCTCATGTGACAATATTTCACTTGTGGATAAGCATGTAAGGTTTTTGTAATTAGTAATCTTGTTTGACAAAAAAAAATTTCAATTATAATTTTGTTTGCTCATTTGTTTTAATGAGGTTGTGAGTGTTTGATGAGAATTCAATTCGAATTGTGCTTATATAGAGGAATTTATACTGACATTTCATATCTTGGGTATTTCTTATTTGTTACTTTGTTGACGATATACGAGAATCGAGCTATGAGATGGTTCATTTAGTATCTTTGTCTGTGTCTGAACTTTTGGAAAATAAGTTTTATCACTCAAGCAGTAGATGTTGCGTTCAAGCAGTTGGTCTACATGTTTGTACCACCTTTACTCACATCGTTCAAGAGGTGAAGTCTGTGTTTGAGCTGTTTTTGCGACTTTATTTAATATAAAGTGGGTTATTTGCTATTTTTAGGGTTGAATCTATCTAAATTTTTAGAGATGAGAGTTACTAAGGTTTTTTTTTATATTAAAGAGTGTTTATATATTAGTTTTCTTGATGATTTGAGAGTGATTGATGGATTTATGAGTATCATATTGACATCATCAAGGGGTTTGTTTATATTATTTCTTTTACGAAAAAGAGGTGTTCTTTAGTAAATTTCGAAAAACTTGGGTCTGAAACTTTAGTAGATTCCGGAGTGTCGTGGACTCGACATTAGTGTTGTGAATTTAATGTTGGACAAAACAATTTCGAGATAAAGACAGAGGTGGAAGAGATACATCGGGTTTAGTTCAATTTGGGTGTGGATTTGCTAGATAATTAAGGATACTCGTGTGTATTTTCTTTTTATCTTCTTAGTGGATTGTTCTGTAGCTTTGACCCGTGATTTTTTTTTTTTATCACAATTGAAGAGCTTCAATTGTTATTTTTTTCACGTTAAATTATTGTGCTGATTTGTTGTTGATTGTTTAATTGCAATTGATATTTACTATTTAAAATTGAAATATAACCATGAATATATCTCGAGGGTTTTTAAATTTTTCAAAACAAAATACAAATTGAAATTGAACACAAAGCGCAAATATATTAAAAGAAGAAACACATGCAATAAGACTTACCAATTGTTGCCAAAATTATAGGGGTTAGGAATTCAGCCTAACAATATTAGGTGACCGAAATAGAACATTCCAAGCTACGGAACTAATTGATCAGCCTAATCTTGATTAGGCTATCTAACAATGGGTTATAACATTTCTAAGTTAAGATGCTAGTATAATAGTTCTCGTGCGCAAGTGAAAAGACGAAGTATGGTAAAGTAAAACTTAACAGGAAAATCACGAACAAGAAAAATGGAACGCTTTTGTCTTGAATTTTGTTAAATCAATAATCAGAAGCTACTTAGTTTTTTGAGGGGACAGTTTAGTTTTGGCACTAAAAAATTAAAAAAACTGTTGATTACGATTTAGTTCATGGATTAGAGCTCATTAGAGTTGAATAAAATTGAAACAAATCGATCGACATTTTTATTAATTTTAACATGTATAGAGAGTTTCATAAAGAGCTTACTTTTCTTTTCATTTATTTCTTTGATCCCCTATCTCGTTCCGACGTTGATGGGACATTTATGCACAAAATATTCTCTTTATACAAAACAACATTGGTCGGTAACTCAAATATAAGTTTGCTTGAAATTGCTTGAATTTTGGCTTATCGGTCGTCCGGCCAGTCATTCGGCAAGAAGGTGACAGCCGCGGTCAACAAGATAACAACTGCGGTAGACAAGTGTTGTACCAGTCGTCCGAGTAGTCGTTTGCGTGGTCAACCGGCAAGCACAAATTTGGACTCTCGGACAAACTCAAATTCGAACTACCAATCATTTTTTTATACAGTGGGTGTTTGGGAAGTGACTATTTTATAGGCTTTTTGGTTTTTTGACTATTTTAGTTGGCTATTTTAGTTTTTGTGTTTGGGAAGATGGGATGAATTTTTATTTGACTTGTTGTATTGAAAAATGTGTTGAAATGATGTTTGAAGTTAAAATGACAAATTTGTCCCTAAAATTACATTTTTTCAAAATTGATGTAAAGGGACAAAATCGTCATTTATCAAGGGATGGCACAACTTGTCAATGTGACAGTGTAGGCTGTGCCTACACTGTTCACGGTTTCAGCTATATATATGTATATATATATATTTTTCTTTAAATATAAAGTGTGGGTATAGGGGCTTTTTGGCTTTTTTTTAGTTTGAAGCTATTTTAGCCTCAAACTCATCTTCCCAAACACCCCCACAAAACATAGGTGTATAGTTTTCACCCACTATTTATATAATTTTTACAGTTCTAATATTATTGAAAATTACATTTTTATAATAATTATTATATAATATGAAAATTTTGTTTTGTGGTTACTTAAGTTTGGAGAATATTTAAAAAACTTGAAGTAAGACTGTAAAATTTTTGAAATATTTGTATAGGTAAAATTAATTTTTAGTAAATTAGATAGTGTTAAGCCTCGTTTGGGAACAAGTTTTTTTAGTAATTTTTTGACTTTTTTACTAAAATGTGATGTAAAAAAAACTAGTATGTTTGGGATGACTTTTTGACTTTTTATGAAAAGATGTAAAAAAAGTAGAGAGAAAAAGAAATCTTTGACTTTTTTGTATGAATTGTTGACTTTTTTAATTTTTTTAGTAACTTTTTGACTTTTTAACTAAAAGGGGCACTTGCCGTTTGGGAACAGGCTAATTTAGTAACTTTTTGACTATTTGGCTAAAATATGAGCTAAGAAAAACTATTCTGTGTGTTTGGTTTGAGTTTTTTGAATTAAGTTTTTTAAAAACTAAGTTTTTTGGTTTTCGTGTTTTTTTTGTTTTTAGTGAATATTTTTAAAATTTTAAACATTTTTTTTACTTTTTAGATGTACCTTACTTAGATGTATCTAAAAAATAAAAAATTTGTGAAAAAATATTTTAAAAAATTAATAAATACATAAAAATACAAAAAATGTACTGAATTTTCGTATTTTTTTTGTATTTTGCGTATTTAGTGAATTTTTAAAAGGTTTTCTTCACAAATTTTTTATTTTTTAGATACATCTAAGTTAGGTATGCCTAAAAATTAAAAAAATTGCTTAAAATATTAAAAAAAATCAGTAAAAACAAAAAAACACGAAAAATAAGAAAGTAGAATTTTCTGAAAAGTATTTTTTGGAAAGTGAAACCAAGCATTGTAATTATGTTTGGGATGACTTTTTGACTTTTTACGAAAAGATGTGCAAAAAGTATAGAGAAAAGAAAATCTTTGACTTTTTTGTATTAGTTGTTGACTTTTTTATTTTTTTAATAACTTTTTGACTTCTTAACTAAACGGGCTGGTTCCCAAATGGGGCTTTAATATAGTGATAAATTTTTTAGACTAGAACACTGAAACCAAACTGCTTTTCATGATTTGGTTACGTTCCTAAATTTCTAGAACCGTAAAAACTGAATTAATTTTTTAATTGTCTTAAAATTAAACAAAACGGTCCATCAACACCCTTAAAAAAAAAAAAAAAAAAAAAAAAATTTTTTTTTATTTTAAAAAATTGCTTTAAATTATTAAATTACTCTCTATATTTGTTTTACACGTTTTTTTTCCATAAAGACTTAAAAAATTACATAAAAAGTTAATTCTAAATGAGCCTTTAGTATTTTTGAAACTTTACAAAATAATAATAATAATAATAATAATAATAATAATAATTTAGCTTAAAAGCCTAATGCCAAAAAAATGGGGACAAGTTTTGGTTCAATTTTTGACCGAGTAATATTAACAGTTCACCTTATAAATTTTGGAGTGATATTTTAAGGGTTTTTTAAAGTATTTTCCAATATTTACCCATGTAAGTAGAATTGAGCAAAGGAAAATGTTATGAACCCTAAATAATTTATTAAATGTTTTATCAAATTAGGACCTACACAAACCCCATGTGTGCCCAGAGGTTTGGTAAAACATTTTAGTAGATTATTTAGAATCTCTAACATTACTCTTGTACAAAAATAAGATATAAATAAATAAATAAATAAATAAAATCTGTCAAACCCAT